CTCTTCTCCTATTTACTTCACAGGATTAATATGAGAATCAAATAATATGATACAAATTTTTGTACAGCACAACTTTTCAGATGTTTTCAAAACATTAACTTCATTTTATTACAATAAAAACTATGAAAGCCAGTCACGAGTCACTTTCATTAAAGTTGCATTTAGATCTATTAAAATTCACTCTGGCTTTAAAACAAAGATGCAATTACTTTCCTATAAAGTTTCAGCTAACATATGTGCTGTACACTATCTTATATCATCAAAAGACAATCCCTAACAGTCCAGGGGAACAAAACCAAGGAAATTCAAGACAATAAGTAAAGCACTCTTTGGATTTGTAGTTCAAACAGGTGCAATATAAATACTAAAAAAATACTAAACTTTTCCATTATGGTGTCTCTAAAATCAAAACACATCTTACATTTTCTATCAATTCACCAACAGACAATAAAAACAAACTTCCTTCAAAATTCATCCACAATAAGGTGAACAAAGAAAAGTACAGAAGGATATGAATCACACAATCTCATTTATGTAAAAAAACACATTTTAAAAAATGACTTATAGATGCTCTTATATGCTTAGAGATTTTCACTACAGATACCAAAGGAAGCCACCTCTGAAGAGAGGGAATAGGAACTTAGGGAACTTTTACTATCCCCTATCCACCTTTCTGCAGGGCTTGAATTTCTTACTTTTCAGAAAGGTAGCTCTAAGATTTTATTCTTTTTTTTAATGTTTTTATTGATTTTTTGGAGAGGGAGGAAGGGAGAGAAACACTGATGTGAGAGGTTAATACTGCTCAGCTGCCTCCTGCATGCCCGCCACTGGGGATAAAGCCTGCAGCTCAGGCATGTGCCCTAATGGGAAATCTAACTGGAGGCCTCTTGGTGCATGAGAGGATGCTCGGCCAACTGAGCCACACAGGCCAGGCTCTAATATTTTATTCTTAAATCAAGGATAATATTTATAGTATATCATTTATGCAAAAAGAAAAAAAACAAACACTATATAATGTAGCCCTAGACGGCCTGCCTCAGTGGTTGGAGAATCGGACTGAAGGGTCTCGAGTTCGATTTCAGTCAAGGCACGTACCTCAGTAGCAGGCTTGATCCCTGGTCCTGCTCGGGCACATGCAGGAGGCAACCAATCCATGTGTCTGTCTGTCTCCCCACCTCCACCCCCTACCCTCACCCCCACTTCCACTCTCTCTGAAAAACAATGGAAAAAACCTCCTCTGGTGAGGATTTTAAAAAAACACTGCATAATATATACTGTAAAAGCACAGGAAAATATTGAAGCATATTCAAACTTCATGTGGATTACTTAGGGAAACTAGTGGAGAAAGGGAGAGGAGGAGGCTCACTTTTTATTCTGTACATTTGTGTTTTGTTGATATACTTAAAAATAATATGTTCCAGTATTACTGTTATAATTTTTAAATTAACATAAAATGTATCTACACCACCAAATTTTCAGGTCTATAAATGTAGCCTGCTAAACTCTTACAATCAGAGATACTCTCACTGATGAGAATGTTAGCACAGAAGAGTGGTGGACTTTACTTACTCTGGTTATGTATTTAATATTCTCTCAAAAATGTAGGTTAGGTATCTTAAGCAAAAGCCAACAACAGAAATCTCTGTGGAAAAGAAATGTTCAGGCTCTATTTAAACAATGTTCTATTTGCACAATTTTCACAACAGATAATTTCACTTGCATACTGTTATTAATTTACAAAGTCCTTCCTTGTTCTAGTTTGTTCACCTTCAAATTTATTTTCTAGCAAGTAATCTCACTGCCTTGAATCAGATTAGGTAGTATGTATAAGCATCTACAGAAAATATTCTGTTACTACTTTTTTGGGGGGGAATCACTCATGTTGAGACCTATAAAATCCATAAATATCATAAATATTCTAAAGGGCTAATACACTACTTTATTTGGCAGTTTATCCAATAACCTAAATAGGAATGAACTTAGATGTTCACAAGCAACTACGAAATCCAAAAATACATTTTGAAATTTCTCATCAAGTGATAAAATGTAACATTTATGATATTATAATGTGGACTCTGAGAAGCAACATGGTTCTGAAATGGGAGTCTGGTGCTCTGGTTCTGGATCAGTCTTAACACTAATTTGTTCTGGTGACCTACCTTCGGCAAGTCACTTCTACCTCTTTGAACCTCAGTTTCCCCATCTGTAGAATGGAAGGGAGAATGCTTAGACTAGGTTCTTATATTTCGAGGTCTCTATTTCCTGAGAGAATTTGATAAAAAGCTATAGAAACTATTACCAAAAATGTATGTTTGCACCCAAAAATTAGCTTATAATTTTCTCCTGATATCCGTCATGGACTCCCTAAGACCTTTGGATGAAAAGATGTCTTGGGATTATTCTAAACATTAAAACTCTTCTGATTTTCATGAAATATAACAAAAAGAAAAATTAAGCAAAAATACTGTGAAAGACATCACTACTTACTTGTAATCCCAAAATATATTAAGAGCTAAAATATATAACAAATATCTGTAAACAAGGTTTCCTCAGATAGATATCCACCTGACCCAGTGGTGGATAAACAAAAAAATCACCCATTCTCTTTTTGAATATTCTAATGCTTAAAAAGTGAAGGAGATTTAACAATCTTAGCTACCCTCAAATGAATTAATTTTCCTGCTTTCTAGTCCCACTACCCTCTAAGTTTAGAACCACAGACTGGTAACAGACAGACCTGAATTGGAGTCCCCACTCTACCATTTCCCTTGAAAATTTAAGTCAGTTACTTAGCATCTACATGTTTGAATGCCTTAGTTTATAAAATGAAAATGAAAATGAAAATAATTCATAAAATTACTGAGGCAATACATGCAAAGTGCTTGGCATAGTGCCTCACACATAGTAAACACTTAATAAATGTGAGCTATTATTAATAAATTGAAATACAGCTATCATACTGAGAAATAATGCAGTAAATGCTACTCTTACACATTTTTAGTACACACTTTTGAATAGTAAGTAGAAATTTCTAAAACAGAATTTCCTATTTTCAATAGCATTTTTTTCCATACTCTTCTCTGGAAAGATTTAAAGTATGTAAACGACTATCTATTAGACATATATATGAGGTGGTGGGGTAGAGTAGAAAGAAATCAAGCTTTAGAGCCAGGCAGGTCTGAGTTGTGGACCTAATTCAGTGGCTCAGTAATTATGTAATCCAGGCCATGAAAACTCTTTCAACCTTGTAAAGCTATTGCAAGGAGTACTAAGTATGTAAAACATCAAGCACAATATCTGGTATGTAGTATGCATCAATAAACATCACTTATGACTATTCTCCTAAGATACCCCTCACAGGTGATAAAACTAGCTTCGCTAGGCAAGAGGGAAAGCACAGGCAAGCACAAATCCAAATATTCAGGCAATGATGAAGAACACTTATTTTCTCTTATCAATGAAAGCAAGCAGTGGTTTGGGGGTCACATACAACTTCCGGAGCAAATGAAAATGGGGCTCCTAGAAAACTAACCAGTATTTCAGTAAATTCTCCATGTCAGGGATCTTAAGAACCTTGTATTTAAGAGGGAGACTGGGCAGTTTTTTTATGGACCTCCTAGCAAGAATCTTTAAACATTATCTACTCAGTTTTGTGACAAAATGATTCATTTAACTTTGCTTAGGAGGAAGCTAGTAAATCCTTTTTTATTAAATTTCTCAATTTCATGACCTATCCAGTGTTATATGCAAAAACAAATCTTGGTAAATGAAACTACAAGCTGTGCTAAAATTAGTTCAAATGGTTTTAAATGTGATGTTCCAACACATAACCCAAACATTGGACCAAAAGGAAAAGAAAAAAAAAAGTCCAGCCCTGGCCAGGTAGATCAGTTGGTTAAAGCATCATCCAGATACCCAGATACATCCAGATACCCAGATATGCCAATGTTGCAGGTTCCATCCCGGGTCAGGGCACAAACAAGAATCAACCAATGAATGTATAAGTGGGTGGAACAACAAATCATGTTTCTCTTCTCTCTCTCTAAAATCAATAAAATAAAGTTCAAAAGGATAACAAACCTGACTGCATTCAATTCTTAGGAAGGCTGGATCAAGTCAAAGAGTCAAAAGGGCTTCTAAATCCCCCCACCAAAAAAATATCTACAAACACGGAAGTCATCATTTAAAAATCAAAACTGAGCCCTGGCCGGGTAGCTCAGTCAGTCAGAGCGTGGGATGCACCAAGGTTGTGGGTTGGATCCCGGTAAGGCCACATACAAGAATCAACCAATCCATAAGTGGAACAACAAATCGATGTTTGTGTCTGTCTCTCACTCACTCCCTCTATCTCTCTCACCCACTCTCTAAAATCAATAGGAAAAATTTTTAAATAAATGAAAAACAAAACTGAGCCAGCAAATACAGTTTACTAAGGAAAGGAATATTGCTTATCCTGACTTCTCCCTGCGAAGACTCTTCCAAAACTCTGGGTGAATAATCTACTCATCGAACTCTTGAACGTGTAGTGTCGGAATGAAGCGGACACGCGACCCACGGGGAGTATTGGGTAAAGTTTGGCCCCAATGACCTTGGTCCCAAGGAGTCCCCTCCCTGCCGCTGCCGCCCTTCCACGTGCTGGCGCTGCGGTGGCCCCGAGCGTCTGCAATCTGGGGGATGCACTTGGGAGCCCAAGGCAGGAGGGCGCAGGGGTGCTAACAGCGCCGGGCCGGGCAGGGATTCCCTGCCTCCGTCTGGCTCCGCGCCCGGCTCCGTACCCTTGCTGCGCGCATTGTGGGGCACCCCGCGGCCCGCGAAGCCCTTGTCCCTCAACCGCACATCCCCGGGATAGGCAGCCCCAGGACCGGGGTCCGATAGCAGGACAGCAGCATGAGAGACCTGTGCTACGCCGCGCCGCCGCCTCCCTCGTGGGCTCCCAAGCGGTCCGGTGGGCGCGGCGGGGCCTAGTGGGCGCGGAGGCTAGGGCGGGGCAGCGCGCTCACCATCAGAACTTTAGCCGCGTTCTCCAGCTGGGCGATCACTTCTGAGGGCCCAAGTGCCGCCGCCATCATGGTCTCTCTTCAATGACGCGCCATCCAGTGCATTCTGGGAGCGGCGGTGCTGCCGACCAATCGGCGCACGCTCCGCCCCCACGCTCCCAGGACGGCGACGGAGGCGGCGAGGCGGAGCGGTGACAGGGTGGAAGCCTGGCATCTGGCGGAGGACCAATGGGGTGATCGGACAGGGTCCAGAATGAGATTGGGGAGCAGGGGGTGTACCTGGAGCCCGCTGTTGGATGGGTAGCGATGGCCGCGCCTGCGCTGTGCTGGTCTCGGGTTCTCGGGCGCTGTTCCCCACAGAGCCGCCGTTCCCTGTCAGTGACTCCGAGTCCCCGGCACCGCGCAGACCCCTGCCGTATCCTCCGTGCCCCGGTCCACGCTGCTCTCTACGGGGGGAAGCCTTCTGAGAGCCGAATCCCGGGTCGCGCCCCTTCGCCCCTGGCCCCTAGGACGTGCCTCTGGCGTCCCGACCTCCATTCCTTGACCGCGAGCGCGCACTCCCGCAGACCCTGCGGAAGGCGTCGTCCGGAGGCACCGCATGCCGCTGACACCCCAGCAGGAAAGCCGTTCCTTCTCTCTAGCCAAGGCTCTCAATCCTTGCAGGAGAGAGGGAAGCAGGTACCCGGCTGACTACATGCTTCTCTTAACCAAGTGAGAATTCGCGGCTTCCAAGCTCTATCGTATTCACGGGTTTCATTCTGTTAATTCTGGGTCCCTGTGGAAAGGCCATTGGAGCCACTAGGAACGCCTCTCACTCAGTCAGTCTGCTTTACAACGTTCAGGCACGTGGTCCTGAGAACAGCAGACTCAGCGTTCACACAGATTGGTTTGGATGAGGGTGTATTTCATTTGGAGCCGACATCCTTGTTCTTGTAACATCGTCTGCTACCTTTACTGCTTCTCTGCTCTCTCGGGCTACACAGTGGGGAAAGAGTGAAGACAGGGAGTATATAAAATGGGGTAACTTTAACCAAGCCGCTAAAAATTATTAACATTAGGAAGGTGGAACATGAGGAAAGACTCCATTCTTGTTCTAACTGGCCTTGGAACTCAAACTTTTTGAACTTTTCAGTCTTGCGTCAATGCCTGAATATACATCTGGACATACACCAGACCTCCAGATAGCCCTCTGATTACCTCGGTAAGGGACTCACATATCCAGACTATGGAACCTGACCAGACCTGGTGTCGATCATCCAGGATACCTGACATTTGACTGATAACTGTCCTGGACCAATCCTAGGGCTAAGGATGTGGGACTGATAATTCTCAAGAATGCACTTTTTTCCATAAGGAAACTTTTCTTTCTTTTTTGCAACACTTAGGGGTTTTGCCTAGCTTGTCCCAGGTTTGCAAACCCTAAGACCCTTGAAAAAAATCCTTATTTATTTCTAGCCAAAGCCTCCAGACGCTTTTTGAGTTCTCTTGACAGCAGAAAGTCAAATTCATTTCAGGCTTTTTAAGTTTCCTTTGTTGAAATCTTACTATAGTTCTTCCTAGTTATAAGTAAGTTATACTTTGGGGGTTTGTTCTTTTTTATGTCACTGCAGAATTGCATTATTAGCTCCATTGAAAAACAGTTTCATTTGACATTCCTACAACTTGAAGTTGAGAAAGTGAATTAACAATTTTTCTTTTTAAATATATCTTTATTGATTTCAGGGAGAGAGAGAAACATCAATGATGAGAAAGTCGTCCTTGATCGGCTGCCTCCTGCTCGTCCCCTGCTGGGGATCCAGCCACAACCTGGGAATATGCACCCACCAGGAATCAAACTGCAATCTCCTGGATCCTAGGTCGGTGCTCAGAAGCTGAGCCACAACAACCAGGCAAGAAAGTGAATTAACAATTTTTATTGCTTGAGAAACAAAGGAACTTTAATTTCACAACATAAAGATAAAGCGAGCCAAAATGCAGTTAATGGACCTTTTTAAGAATTGTGTGAAAGTGGTTAAGATAATGACACAATAAATATTTGACTAAATGTCTCTAGCTGTGACAAAGAGTAATTATGGCAGATCAGTGATATATCTGCAGAACTGTAGACAAATGAATAGTTTGTGTCATTGAAGGTTTGAGGCTTATAATGCTTCAGATTGGGCCTTCTGCTCCAAAGCATTTGTTTTGTGCAATTACATAAGAACTTTGCATCTAGCCACCCAGAAAAAGGAAAAGTATTTTACCAAAGGTGAGGGTGAGTGTTCTACCTCACAAATTAAGAGTATTTTGAATTTAGAGGCTTTAATAAGTGGGTTACAGACATCTCACATAACTGGGAGCCATGAATGTTAGAGCAAACACTGAAGTCGTAGAATATCAGTGTTGGAAAACACTAGAATTTATCTACTAATCTCCCCTCCAAATGCCTATTATTTCTTGATTTCCTGTTTAACAATAACACTCTCTTGAGGAGGGGTAAGGAGTAGTATTGCAGTCACCTGTGATTCATATCATAAAATAGAAGAAGGGAAGAAAGTTGTACAAATTCCAATAATTTTTCACGAGGCATGAGAAATGTTTACGATCTAGGAAAGGGTAGTTGCCTGGTTGAAATGTTCCTGAAGTTAAGAACATTTCACAAATACATCCCCTTGTGTTTTTTTTTAATAGTAAGAATATTTATTCATTCATTTCTTTTTAGAGAGTGGGGAGAGAGAAACATCGGTGTGAGGGAGACATATAGATTGGTTGCCTCCTACATGGGTCCCTACCAGGGCCGGGGATCGAAGCCAAGACCGTTTGGTCCACTGGCCAATACTAACCATTGAGCAAAACCGGCCAGGGCCCCTCGTGCTTTTAGGGTACTGCTTTAACACCTGTGATGTTTACAAGAGAAAAATTCTGAGATGTGCTAAATTAAATTACAGCCCAAGGCTGGAGAGTAGAGAAAGAGACAAGAGTAATTAACCAAATAGCTATGAGCCAATTAGCAGTAGACTGCTCACATTCCTGAATGTATGCTGAAGCTTTGAATCAAGTTATTTAGTGATCTTCATATCCTGCAATTGGCCCGGCTGGGCATGGCTCAACGGTTGAGCGTCGACCTGGGATCCAGGCGATTGGGGTTCAATTCCCGGTCAGGGCACATGCCCGGGTTGCAGGCTCGATCAATGACTCACCATTGATGTTTCTATCTCTCTCTCTCCCTCTCCTTTCCTTTCTCTGAAATCAATAAAGATATATTTTAAAAAACAAACAAACAAACATATCCTGCAATTGCCTATAACCAATCAAAAGTAGTAAATGTTGCCCTGGCCGGTGTGCTCCGTGGTTAGAGCATCAGCCTACACATCGAAGGATCTCGGGTTCAATTCCCAGTCAAAGGCATGTACCTGGGTTGCAGGTTCAATCCCTGGTCCTGGTCAGGAAGTATGTGGAAGACAACTGATCAATGTATCTCTTTCATATCGATGTTTCTCTCCCCCCCACCTTCCACTCTGTCTAAAAATTAATGGAAAAAATATCCTCGTGAGGATTAAAAACAACAAAAAAGTAGTAAATCTTTCTTACAGGCTTCAATCCTATTATAGAACTGCCTAGGCTTTACCTTTCCACCCCCCTTGTCTGTAGCCAATGTAAATTCTTTCAAAACAACTTACATCTTTCATCCCCAGAATATAATGTATAAAAGTACCCAGGACAGCGAACATGTTCATCTTCCCCATCTCGCCTTTCTGCTGGTGGTTTAGATTGTACACTCCAGGATCTGGTCTTTTTCTGACTAGCATGTGGATCAATAAACCCTTTCTTTCAGAAAAGTTTTCTGTGTGAAGGTTTTTTATTTAACAAGGTTATGGGCTTCAAAATTATTCCTACTTTATTCTTCACCAAAAATGATTATGTAATATAAGGTCCTGGGAAAAATACGTTTTGAGGTTTTTTTTGGAGTGTGTGTGTATTTAATGGAAACTAGTGGAATTTGCTTTATAGTCAACATTCCTAAATTTTCTTTCTTAAATTAATGGCTCTCTGGGAACATTTGTTAAGCAAAAATATCGTTACTCTCTCCACTTGACATTCTGGTGCAAAGAAAAAGCCAACTGTTGTGGAACACAGATGATATTTTAAAACTAGAAGAGAATTTAGAGATGATAGAATCATAAGACTCTGGAAATGAAAATATGCAAGGTACTTACTTGTTTTTTACCATGGAACCCGCAATATCCCAGCTTCGTAAAGATATATGTCATTGCAAGGAATGTGGTGTGACCGAATGTTGTGACTGGGCTACCCTGAGCCATACCCAAGGTTGAAGATTCAATCCCCAGTCAGGGCACCTACAAGAATCGACCAATTAATGCATAAATAAGTGGGACCGCAAACCGATGTTTCCCTTTCCCTTTTTCTCTTTCTAAAATCAATCAATAATTGAATATAAAAATAAAAAGAAACTGAGCTACCTTGAGCTAGTAGAGTGGTTTACAACAGACAATCACTGTATCCCGGAAAAACCTGAAACATGCCTTGTTGCCCCTGTGAGTTTGCTGGACACAGGGCATCTCATCAGACAGTTTGAGAACCACAGCTATGTACCTTTTTGAATAACTTAAATCTAGTTGTCAATCCATGGGAACATATGAAATATATATCTTTATATATCCCCCAATAATTTTGACCCACTGGGTAGAGACATTTTGGACAGCCTTGGGCAGCCTGAAGTGAGAGTGGGTGGAAGGAAGCATCAGTCCCCCTTTTCCTCTTTCCTGGCATCACTGGTGTTCAGAGAAAGAAAGAAGAGTGTGGAAGACAGAGGTCTCCTTATTAGTCTGCCCATTAAGTGCAGATCCGGACCTGAAGCTTATAAAAATTTATAAAATGTTGGAGACCCTCAAATATTAAAATGGAAATGGGCTCATGCAGGTTAAGTTCATAACTTAAACTTCTTTACCTCATGGGAGGTTCCCATTTTTTTGTTGGTCATCCCACCTCTTTGGCTAATGCTAACTAAGCTCTGTGAGGCAGCCTCCAAATGCTGAGGTTTCCATTGGGAGGGATCCTTCAGAGAGCTCTGGGAGGAG